GTCTGCTTGCGGCATTTTCGGCTGCTCAAATTGTGAAAAATATTGCAAACAATGTATGTACAAAAATAATTCAACGAATGCGGTACTAGAAGCAGTGCAGTCGGATGGTGTACCGAAAACAGTCGAATAGTTTTACCTTTAGACACTTGCTTTAGTCTCTACTAAAACTGCATAGAAACATTCCATTTAATTTCTTTGTACATTTTTCTAGTTTATAAGACGTGAGCAACTCCTAAGCATTTATATTACTTGCTGCCTTTTATCAGAGTTTACTGCTTCTGCTTTCCTGTGGGTTTATTCCGCTTATTTGGTCTCTTGTCTGCATGAACTATAGTGCTTGGAATTTCATTTTTTTTTATCTCTTTTCATACTGCTATGAAAGTAGCTACTTTTCCTTAACCTTTTCTCTTTTATTCGTGGATTATTTTATTTTAATCCCATTAATGGCATTGCGAATGGATATTCAGAATATGCTGTATTGCTTTTGGAAAACAAAAGTAAGTTGAATTTTCCTTATTAATTGAGAAGGTAAAAGGATATTGTTAAGGAATTAATTTCATGCGCAATGAAATTGAGATGGAAACATTGAATAAAAGAAAATGCACAAAAGTGAATGTAATAATGATAATTAAATAATTGAAAGTCAATTACTTCTGAAATGGACATTCAGTGAAATCATCCTCTTTTGCATATTCTGACACTTAACATTATTAAAATGTTTTTGTATATTAAAAAGGACAGCACATGGAAAGTACATAATTATTTCTTATTTCTTATTGCGTTTTTAATTTTCTTTAAAAGATAGTAATATGCTTACAAGACATAACCTTAATACGTAAAGACACATGACGCTTAAAAGAATAAGCACCATGCTCTTAAAAATTTTCTTCGTAAAGTCTAGTAGACTCTTTAAATATGTAAGAAGCAGATGTTATTTCACTTTAAATATAATTCCTGAGAACATATTTTAAAATTAAATTAGTTTTATAAAAGTATTATGACATTTATATATACAGTTATATATGTATATAACTATATACAGTAAAATCTTCGTAAGAAGTCGATTTAACATTATAAAATAGTATGAATATTAAATATAATATTTTATTTGACTATTATATTTATCAACTTTGTGCTTACAAACTTCCCGAAAGTTAATAATATAAAGTCCTTATCAATAAAGAGGCGATACTGCAAAGAATAAGAAGGGTTCGAAAAGAAATGAAAAGACAACAACAAAAATTTTGGTTAATTTTTTGAAGTTTGATTGGCCGTACAACGCTGTTTCGAGTATTGCCAAGTAATAATATGGATTGCACGAATTATATATGGACTGTAAATTAATTAAAAAATTCGAATATTTCCTACGACCACTGATAATGTATACTTGGCACTACTTTATGGGTGTGTCGCGTATGTAATTAGCTGCCAACTCTACTATCCAGAAGCTACAAGTGGGTCAAAGTCAGGGTGTCCAAAGACTCTTCAAAGTGCCTTGGTATATCCGCACGAATGACATGCTAAAAGACCTTAGAATAGATCAGATAAAAAAATACATAGGCAACAAAGTCCTTTAACTATATGCGAAAACTGACAGTCTGCCCTACTTAGCACTATCTAATCTTAGAGTAATCACTTACCGTATAGGATGGTACGCAGATCTTAGATCAGTCATTGAATAATCACGAAGCTTATGAGGAGTACACAAATTAGTCAGTGAGATGGGTGGGACTCTTCAGAAACTCCCCAGCTATCAAAGAGTAAAAGAGTCCAGATGCACTAACACGAAAAAGGCTCAACATACAATAGTATATATGGGATATATAAATATATGTTATATAAACTATAAACTAGCTTAGATAAATTTGGAAATTTCTTATGTTTCACCTCATAATTACTGAAATACTGAGATGTTCTTAACTCGTTTTTAGGACTTAGTCTTAGTTGGTTCAAGTCTCACAATATACTATAAATTATTATTAATCTTTTAATTGCAAACTATTACTAATAAATTATATTACCATAAATATAGTTTCTTTTAAATTAGTGTAAATTTAAACTAGAGTCTTCGCTGTTTAAAAAACAAATTAATAAAAATAATAAATTTTATTAGTAAGAGTATAAATAAAAAAAAATTTAATTTAAATATGTAATATTTTTACGGGTGATAATTTCCGAATTATCCAGCTGCATGAAAAGCATGCATTATATTGATTAGTGTTAGTAAGCATTTCAAGCTCACCTACACCAATACGTAAAAAACCTATTTAATACCAATACGTATGAACTGAAATATGTATATATGTAAAACAAATCTAATATCAAAGGTGACTGTATTCGAAGCTCAATTTAATAGTCAACCAAATTTACTTAAAGCTCTATATTGATGAAAATATGTGCGCCATGTAACTACAACAAAATAATATTTACAAAAAACAACCTTGCCATAATATTCTCATACGATATGCAACAAATGTAGTAAAATGTACGAAAACACTGGAAAAAAAAGTTTGCAAAAATTCTTAATAAAATATTTTAGTAAATTTTCGTTAGATAAAAAATGGCTCACAACTTATAGGAATTTGTATGAATTGAAGCTAAAAGCATTTTAATGGTTATATGCATTTTCAATTTACTGTAAACTCCGTATAGGTGTGTGGATGCAGCTCAACGCCGAGGCACATATGCATATGCAAGCATGCAGCAAGCCGAAACCACAACGCGCAGATACGCGCAAAACGCAAACAATTTCAAGCGCACCAATCCGAGCGAACATCAATGCAACAAACACAATTCGAATGCAGAAATTTTGCGGTACACAAGCGACTTGAGAGCGTTTGCCGCTGTCGCTGTCGCTGCCACTGCCGCTGCCGCTGCAGCTACCGCTTATACTGAAATCCAATTGCTGGAAACTTATGCAACCAAAAGTACTGCAAAAGTATTAAATATTTCAAAAGAAATGCAGAGAAATAAGTTTTCATGCAAGAATACAAGCGAGTCATGATAATACAAAAAAAAAAAAAAATTAGAAAAAAATGTTGAATGCTGCATAGAAAAGTTCTGCGCTGTTTTGCAAAGATTCGCAATTTTAGTGAAAATATTGAAATGTTTTTATATTATTTTTTATGCGCTTTTTTTAACAACTTTTGTATGCTTTCATACTTTTTGTAATGGAAAAACTATTTTTCACTTGAATGAAATTGAAAAATGAATGGCAAATTTTTTCCTTCATTTTTCTGTGCTAACAACAAAATGTCACTCATACATTTTCCCCCCGCTCGGTTTGGTTCGTAGTAATATTTATAACAACAATGTTACACAAAATTAACTAGAAATGAAAACCGAATTTATTATTTTTAAGCTTATTAAATCTAATTAAATGAAACGTTGACTTTGTATTATTTCAATATTATTTATTAATAAATTGAAGTACTGCCTTCATATAATGCCTCAAAACTTTTTCAGGTACAATATGCATCAAGAATTTTTTATAATTTAAAGACAGGTATGCTATTTACGTGCAAAAGTATTTACATTACAATAACTTAATTAATAATACTTTCAGTTTCTTATCAACATTAATATAAATATCTAACCATGCTGGGAACTATCAACTTGCCGGAGTGAAGAGAATTAGTAGATGTGTTAAAATTAAGACCAAAGCCGTCTGCAATGAGAATAGATATTGATTGAATCGCTTATGCTTGTGCTCTGGACCATGAAGATCAAACCCTAAGTATGCTACGACACAGCGTTTTCCAATGAAGAAATTGTTATTCGAGTCTTTATTTAATTGGTCTTCATTTGCTTGGTGTGGATGAGAATGTTGTCGACTACAGCTAATATATTGTTATGAGTACAACTTGAAGACCCATATCGAACCTATTAGTATCTTTTAATAAGGACTTTATAATAACAAAATTATAATTGTGTGACAAAAGGGAACCATTGACTCAACTAATCACCGTTCACTTTATTATGGCAATGGAAAACGGTTGTTGAATTTGCGGAAAGTTTGGTATACCAGTTTGTCTACTGCTGAAACGGGTTGCAATGAATTATTACCACGACTTTGTTTTGAATCTCTAAAATTTCTTATTCAAGGAACGAGTTTGATAAAAAGTTATTACGACCAAACCCATCAAACTCAACTACATTGTTTTACATAAGTCCAGTCTTTAATAAGTGAAATATGTAAAATAAAAAGCAGAAAGTGAGAGAATGATCTATAACTATTAAAAAGGCTCATTTTTTATGCACATTGGATATTTTTCTTTTCCTTATTATAATTTTATTATACTTAACTGTTTAGATAGCTGTTATATTTGTTCAGGTTTTATAAAAAACGAAGTACATGATTATTAGTTTTATATACTTAAGGTAATTTCTATGCACTTTTTTTTACTTTTTTCTAGTCAAGCTTCAAAACTAATGCTATATAATCCAGTTGGGTTACTTGCCGTAAGAGCTTAATACCGCTGTGCTCTTAACACACGTGAGTATTTTATGAAGTTTCGCTTTTACCAATTGCAGCTATACGTTTACATGTAGTTTCACTAGTAGTCCGTCGTTTCCGTATTAACAATTCCACAAGCGATCATGATCATATTCCTTGATCTTTCATCTATGAAGACAAAAGTACCGCTAATCACACCTTTTCTTATCATTAACAAAGTCAGTGAAACAATGCTGGCTTAGCAGTTCAAACAGATAAACGAAGCCTTGCACTATCATTATTATAATGACTAATGCATCTACCACTTACCTTATAGTAACAAAAAAAAGTAGCTATAATATAAAAATCATCTTACGAATAACAGTTCTGTACATGTGTCATATAATTCATTTTGCACACTAGAATTCCGGTGGTAATAACATACCTGTTTTTAATAAGCATAAATCCATGAGATTGTCAAATTTTTTTTCATATTCTATTACTTTAAACAGAATATGTCAAAAAAATTTAATCAAAAAAATCAAATGCATTTTAAAATCATATTTTAGGTTTTTTTTTTTTGTTTTGGAACAGATGAATGTCAGTTTTTACTTTGAAACAGAACATCTTTTGACAAAAGACTATGAACTTTGGAATGCAAATTTATCTGTGATTTTCATTAGTTTCTAAACTGCATTGATAAATATTTGTTATAAAAATGTCGGAAAGTAATCCGTCTATGAGTGAAGATGAAAGCAGTGATTGGAGTGTTGACTCAATAGGATTTGTTAAAAAATATATGGTTAAAGCTGGTAAGTATTGTTTTAATCACGAATATATACTTATGAATATATTCAAGATTTTACAAAAAAAAAATGGTTTTTATAGATGAATTTCAGCGAGCACGTAAAGCAATGAGTAAAGTCATTAAGAAATATCGTCATGTGAGTGCTCTACCTCTAGTTGCTCAAGAAATTGGTAAGTATTATAATATTTATTGATTATAAAAAATTAGTGGATTAATTAATCACAATAATATTAACAACCATATAACAAAGACTCAACGCAAATGCAAATGATAACTGAAATCTCAACCGAAGCAGACCACCAATCAATACCATCTGATGGTAAATAATCTTATAACTAATTTTTAAACATAAAATAAAACAATGATTTAAAAAAGATTTAGGTACAGAAGAAAGTCAGAACAGCATTACATGCGCCAATACGATGCACAACACTAATTCAGGTACGTACACAAAATATATGTTCGGAGTAGAGTTCAGTAATAGTTTATTTGTGTTCACAGAAGTCTATCACAAAGATAGTTCCTATGCTAATAATCCAATGGCTCTTCATGCTGCTAAAGCACGTAAGCACAATAATACTTCTAATATATAAAAGAAGTGAAAAAATCTTACTTATGTCTAATACTATAATTTCCAGACTTAAATCTTCAACTACAATACCTACAAGATACTGAAGCGCCATCTACCTCAAGACAACACACCACTTCGGTCGAGAAAGATTCTGAAAATTATTTATCATTTTTTCACAAAATGCTTGACGAAGATAATGTATCGAGTTCAGACTCGGAATACGATAGACTTCAGAACTTTTATGATGTTTGGAGCAAGCTGATGGGTAACACAAAATCAGTGCCTCAGCTAGTAAAAATAGACACTGATGATGATTCTAGTTCAGAGGAAGAGTTTAGCTTAGGTATATATATTAAAAGAATTGATGAACTGTATTCATATAGAAACGTTTTTTTTTTGTTTTGACTATAGAAATTGATAAAATACTAGAACCTCATTATTCACTCATACGTCCATCTCAAGATTATGTGAATGAGGATAATCGCAATGAACATAGCAGCGATGTGATCATACAAAATATTATTGATAGCATGACTCCATCTTCAGGAAGTTTAGACGTACAACCGAGTACATCATATGCTGAAACTAATCCGAACTCCATGGATTCATCTCAGTCAAGTTTAAATGAGAATGTAGGAAATATCTCTGAAAATCCAGTTATCATAAGATACGTACAAGAACGTTTGTTGTATAACAACAATCTTTTGAGCATCATGGAAGATGACACTTTAGACTTTTATTCACATACTAAGAACTTAGAACAAGACTTTAGTGCGGCTGGAGACTTTTCATACGAAATTGAACCAGAAAGGATTATACAAAACAATGCAAATAATCATATCGATAATGAAAGTGATGATAATTCTAGCGAAGATCAATCGGAATAAATATAATAAATTATTTGATAACATCTAAATAATTCCAAAGATTTCATTATTCCAAATTTTTTTTGTATTATACAATTCAAAATTTAAGTTTTTAATATCAACACAATAATAAACTGAAAATATAGGACAATAACAATATCACCAAAAAAATATTTCTATGTTCATTAAAAGTAGTAAATTACTTTCTAATAATTAAACTATATAAATTTTTATTAATATAAAAATATATGGACCTATAAAATTGCTATGTATTTTGTCAACAGAACAAGCTAAAACTTAGTTGAAAGAAAACCTTACGAATCTAGTCAAAGGCTTGTGTAATTATATTCGGTATAGTTCGACTAGGATCGAAATCTATAAAATGACTAATACATTTTATCTAAAATAAAAATGTATTAGTCATTATTTCAATTTTAGTGTGCAGGCTTGAGATGTGGGAAGCAATCACAGAGCCTTCAAACATTGCCAACGCTGATTGGTTCATAACTACGCAGAACTACATTGAGAATATAAATCAACTAAGTGAAGCACATCATTTAACAAAACGATGGGTTCTTGACTCATTCAATCCACAAAATAAGATAGACGGAATAAAGTTCAAAAAGTCTATGCAACCTAATACGATTTTAGAATTCTTCATTAAAACATCATATGCTGTATACGGCTAATTAAACTGTTTAAACAATATATATCTAAATAATGATTAAAATGCTGTTAGTACTTAATATCAATAGACAATAGTAATGCATAGTAGGTATTAAAAAGATATTTACACATATATACCGAAAAAAATTCCAATTTTTATGAAATGTCATAATAATGATTCGTTTGATTCTTTCACGCTTACATTCAGACAATTTCTCATGAAGTCCCCGCTTGTACGCTACCAATCTAATCGCTTAATACCTCTTGGACAGTAACCAGTGTTGACGGAGATTGACATAACTGTCTTTTAAACTATCTTTTTTTTCTATTGTTAGTAGATTAACACTATACTTTGTTAAATTAAGGAGAATATTTTTTATTCTCTGACACATCTGGAAAAAGTAACATTTCGTCCCATTTTATATCTAGAATTTAAGAAATCTTTTTGCAACCAATGAACATTTTCCATAAGTATTCTTTTAGCAAATAATTACTGAAATGAACACCATTTTTTAACATGAAAAGTATTTTGAATAAATTTAGGGTTACTTGGATTACTTTAAGTTAACCCCACTATAAACCCTACTCATTGTAAATATTATCTAGACATTGTTATTTATATCTGCAATTTTATCAAAATAGTAAATGGCATAGTGCCAAGCAAATGCTTGGCTAAGAAAAACTTAAACACAAAATTGCTAACCGGCAGTCAGTGGTATTTAAATGAGTGAATGATATGTCACTGTGAGACAGGCCGGGCGTTACACGATTTTTATATAAGTAAATTGTGGAGATGTTGGCAGAATAAACATATAAAATAAATTTTGCTGGGCACAAAATTATATTAAGTTGTCAAATTATTTTTTTTTTTTTGTATCTATTTTTTGCAAATTTGTTGCTATATACAGTACCCGAGCTGTCATGTTGCCTTGTATATTAGCACATCAGACCAACCCTAATGACAGACAAGCCCAACTATTTAAACTTGAATGTTTGTGAATATTTGTTCCGTATCTAAAAATATACTAGAAATAGGGAAATGCTACAGTTTTGCTAACGTGTTAAAAGCTTGAATACTTGAATAAGCAAATTACTCAGCTGTAAATTTTTTTGCATGCCAACAAGTCTGGCACTCCAATTATGGACTATCAATAATGATGACTTACCGTTTAATAATGTAAAGTGCAGATACTTTTTTTTATTTATTTCATAATAAAATGTTTTTATTACAAGCAATTATAGGTTTTACACGTTTGCTACTTTTTTTCAAATTGTAGTATTTAATAAAAGTAGTGAGAAAAGATATTAATATAATACGACCAAATGCCTTAGTAGGTGGGTATTGCATTTTTATATGTTATGTTAATATATATATGTTAAATATGTAGATGTTATTATTATCTCCTTATTATTATTATTCTTTTGTTTTCTTTGTCCTTAATAAGTATAAAAATACATTCTGGAAACCTTAGCTTAAAACAAGCTATATTGTAATATTGCATATTGTATATAGTATATTTTAGAATTCAGTTAATGAAATTTCTGGTGATATGATAGGTATCGATGATAACTGACTTCTGCATGGTATCGACGCGGTTTTGTCGGAGTCCAAAGATTCTCATATTTGTACAGAGACGTTTGCCAATTACACCTTCAGCGCTAAATATTATTGGAATGGTCTTGAATTCCTTAAGGTTACAGTTCCGTTAACCTTTCACTGCTAGCTCAGCATATCTGTTAATTTTCTTTGTCTACAGCTCATGTTTCTAGTAACACGGTCTGCAATATCAATGAAGTAGCATTTACATTTATTCTAATCAAAGATCATGATATCGTTCGTAGTATATCTTGACGTCTTCATTCTCCATAATTGGCTGTGGATTATATTTGTAATAGGGTAGTTCATCCGCTTGGAGTTTATATTTACTAAGAAGGTTTTAGTGGAAGATTTTCATGACGTTGTTATGTCTTCGTGTGTACTCTGTTTGGGCTAAATTCGTGCATCTTGATATTATATGGTCAACGGTTAGACTTATACATCTTCTGCAGGTATCATGGGTAATATTTGGATCTTTTATGATATTTTTTCTGTAATTTTTCGTTGGGATCACTTGACCTTTTATAGCGCTCATAGCCATTTGTTTGACATTAATTTATCAACATTGTCAGCGTTAATGGATCAGTAGAATCGGTCGTGAATTGTTTTTATTGACCACTTTTGTTCCCTTGAAGCTTTCAAGGTCTTCAGCTTGTCGGTTGAAGCTTTCATTCAGATTGAGAGGCGTTGAATTTGTATCTAGTTCAGTTATTATTTTTATAAGTCGCGATTTTTCTGATTTAAGCTAGAAGTATCGACGAAGAGGCTCTACTTGGTTTTCATGGAGAGTTTGGAAATCGACTAGCCACATGTCAAAATGTTTCTTCTACTGGATTAGATATTTATTTAAGTCATTGAAAGGCATTTCTATATGAATTTTATACTATCAGTAATGGATTTATAGCTAAATTTGAAAGCAAAATTATTTAGAAAAAATAAAAGATAATCTTTATTCTGTACCATATGAAACCAAATCATGTATTTTAAGTTTCATTTCAATAAAAATTTCTTATTTCTGTAACAATTCCCAAAATCGTTAAAATTTCGCCTCTTATTTTTCTAAGTATATCATCGAAATGCATCAAAATAATTACAATTGAAAGATTTTGCCGCATTCGCACTTGTGTAAGCATTCGCATGCTTGACTTAACCTTTACTTTTGATTGATGTGCAAATATACAAAAAACAAAATAACCAAAAAATCTGAAAAAATGCCAAAATATATACTATTAAAAGCTGTTGTGCAAATAACTGAAATACACGCACAAACACACTCAACTACAAATCAAAATCATAATCAATGTTTGCAATATATCTGAAAAATTTTTCCTCAATTCTCCATCTTTTTATCCATTAGTACTTAACCTTCAAGTGTGCAAGTAAATGAATTACAATGAAACTCCTGAGCGCAAAGATAAACGAAATCAACGTCACTCATTCTGATAACATGGCACAGCAATCTGGAAGCAAGGTACGACGAGTGCCTCGACTCTGCTGGATGGAAGACAAGCACAAGCTGCGTTATGAGTTGAAATTATTTGCAGAAACGCCTGACAAACTTTGACTTCCGTCTCAGTGCCTTAAATCAAGGTAAACGTTGAAGTTATTATTGTAGCATCTCCCACTGGAGCAGGTAAGGAGCGCTCACAGGCATGTATGTTTAAGATTATTTATGCGCAGCATAGCATTGACAAAGTGTGTCCTCATATGGCTTAGGAATATGTTTAATATATGTTCTTAATATCCCAGAATGTATACACTTATGGATAGAAGTGGGAAGCAATTTAGTTAGATATTTATGTGTGTTATGGAAAAGTGCAGGAAGTCTCAATTCTATTAGCTGCGTTACTCTTTCCGCCTCTGATCAATCAAGCATGTGAAATGGATTGAAATTGTTGAGGTGCGTTGTGTGTTCCACTGTTGCTTTAATTTAAGATACATTATAATAAATTTACTCTCAATTGCTACATACAATATTTGCGCTTATTTAACCACCCACTATTTAAAGAGGAACATTCACTGTGCGTTTCAATAGATAAAAGCATTGTATGCATCCTGTGACTTTAAGAACTTATAGTAAAGTTTTTTTGTTGAAAACAAAGTAATAGTTGGGATCTAAGCAGTAACTGCGCTTCCACATACTAGTTATTCCAAATCAGGATATCTCTTATTATACAGGGTATATCTTGTGATATAGGCTATATCCTGTTATAGAGGTATCTGGGTATTTCTTCTTATATAAGACATATCTTATTATACAAAGTATCTAATATTATTCAGGGTATCTCTAATGTCTTGTTATGTGGAGTATATTTTATAATACAATCTTTTATTATACAGGGAGTATTATACAGAATATTATTATACTGGGTATGACTTATTACACAGAATATTATTATATAGGGTATTTCTTATTATGCGGGGCATCTTCTCTTATATGGGGTATCTCATGTTATACAGCGCATCTATTGCAATACAAAATATATCTTGTTACACAGAGCATCAATTGTTATACGGAGTATCTCTTCTTATACAGGGTATCTCTTTTTATGCAGGTTGTGTCTTTTATCACACAGTATTCCTTATTATACAGGATTTCTCTTCACACATAAAGTATCCCATGTATTTTCTCATATGCGTTTTGATTTAACTTCCAAGCTAATTTTTATTGGGTGGTTGTACCCTAGTACACAAATCTCAAAATCTGTTTGAGATACAGGAACAACTATAATTAACTTATAAGATGTACACATCTTTAACTATTAAACTTAGTAAGCCCAAAAACAAATTTTAAGTTGTCAACAAAAAAAAATTTATATTAGATTTTAATAAGAACCATTATATTGAATAAATTTCAATTGGTGTGAAGTGATATTCATTGATATATTTTATAACCAATTTTTTTTTCTTTACGAAGTAAAAGAAAATTGTAAATTATATACCAAGAAAATATTATATATCGAGTAAGTAAAATATAGTCTTTTGCTTTTGAACCTGATAGCATCTTACGCATGTTTCCTAATTATTAAAACTTTATCTATTTTATATTTTTCAGTAGATAATTAACAGTGTTATAGTATTAGCTGTTTAAGTTTTATTTTAATTATATATAATAATGTATACCGATTTTAACATCTACAATCAAAGATGATAAGGATTAAAATACGATTGGTGCCCAAATATAAGGTTTTTAATAATTAATTTGATAAAATTACTTAATTTTTAATGATTTTAGTTCACTATAGCTGATAACGAAAAAAAAGCTACATCTATTTAATATCAAATTTAATAATAGTGATAATAAATGACATTTAATGAAATGTCTAATCTACAGCTTTTAGGAAAGTCCGACCATTAGATACAAATTCTCTAATGGCAAGATTTTGTATATCATTGAAGGATAGAACCATTACGATCTGAATAGATTTATTGCGCATTATCTTATGTATAAAATTCATTCTTTTTTCATAAATTTTTTAACATGCAGAACTAAAAATTTATAACCAAAGCGAAAAATGCCTGCAGCTAATATAATTAACCACTTCTTTTTTCTGAAATAGTACTCTTTCAATCAACTAAGATGTTTTATACTCAACTTCAAACTGCATATCCAGATCGTTTTGAATTGTATAAGAAATTTAATGAACTCTATGAATCAAAATTAGAAAAAGTAAAGCCTTTGGTAAATGATGAATCCTCAAAGAAATTCTTACTCGCCTGTCAAAAAGCTATTAAAGAACCAGTCAACGCTATATCAGCAGCTAGTTCACAACATCTGAACAATAAATTTGACAAAATTTATGATTTTATAAATGGTCATCCATTTAAGGTAGCTGAAGGTATAATATCGATAAATGATCATCCATTGGGACCGGATTACTGTTTGCTTTTGCTAACAAAATTATTTGTAGAACAAGGTGATGTACTAATCGGAAGCGTGTCGCAAGCCGCCTTTGGTGTAGCATCAATAATTGTTTCATTATGGAAAGTCCTACCCGAATTTGGAGCGCTTTTTTTAGCCACCCTATATAAGGAATCCCCATACTTAGTACCATATTATGTAACTAAACAACAACAACAATCTACTGATGACTACCTTAAAACACTCGGCTACAAGTTCAAAAAAGGCATGCTTGAAAATCAAGAACAATTTCTGAAAAGACAAACTGGTTATGCTCGACTATTTTCAGCAATTATGATAACCAGTGGTAGAAAAATTGATGAACAGCCTCATCCATTCGGTAAAGAACACTGTTGGAGTTGGTTAACTAATTTTATAAACATGGAACCGTACCCAAATGTTTCTACAACAATACTTTACGAGGTTCTGAAAACAGTTTCAGCGAATCTTTATGAAACTTATGGTAAACAGTTTTTAAAACTGATTATATTCATAAGACACACATATATACCAAAAGTAAAAGAAATTAATAGTGATGGACTAACTGTGCGTCTGGAAGTTTTACTGGACGAATATTTAAAAACTAAATCATTTAAAATGCCATTAGGATTTTTATCAAAAGATTTTTGGTAATAAATTTAATTTAAT